TTTTTTTTTATTAACAAGTTAGTTGACTGAAAATTTTGTGGTCTCCTTTGACATTATTGAAGATAGCCCCCAGAGAGCCATACTACCACTAAGAATCAAATGAAACCCTTAAAGCTCTCTTCACTTTTGCTAGTCAGGAATTCTCACTTTCATTATTGCCTAATTTTATCAATAGACTCTGTTTCTTTTAAAAAGTTTGGAGCACCAGAAGACTTTTATTTAACTAACAGACCTCAGTTTCTTAAATATTTGCAATCATTGTATTGGAGTACAGATGTAAAATTTTATATTGTTAAAGATTTAACTTTGGAAAGGACTTTAATATACAAAAATCAAGCAGAGAGCAATAGCAAATAGATAATGGTGTAGATTAGGAAATGCTTTCATAATTTATACTAGGAAAAGCATCTACAGAAAGCCTCAAACTGGTAATTATAACTCCTAATTAAACAGTTAATAAGCAAATGACATACTGTTTCTATAGAACTTTTTAATGACCAAATGAAAATCTGATATTTTTCATTTCAGTCCTATTAGTTAAAAGAAAAAGATCTAATTTTTTAAAAAATGATTAAAGATAAATATGTGCTATGCTTATGATACAAAGAAATTATTTATTCGGAATCAAGATTTTAAAATGTTAATTTCCTTTATTGTTTAATGTGTACTTCTTCGGTGCACTTTAAGTCAAGCAGAACTGCATTGACTTCTAAGAGTATGTAAGATATTTTGTTATACCACAACATATCTTCGCCAGTACTAAATAGTGTATTCTTTTCATTTTTCAACAGGGTTGTGTATGGGGTGTTGCTTACAAACTGCCAGTAGGAAAGGAAGAAGAAGTAAAAGCATATCTTGACTTCAGAGAGAAAGGAGGCTACAGGACCACAACAGTCCTTTTTTATCCAAAAGATCCCACAACAAAACCATTCAGTGTGTTGCTGTATATTGGAACACATGATAATCCTAATTATCTTGGTCCTGCACCTCTGGAAGACATTGCAGAGCAAATTTTTAATGCAGCCGGTCCAAGTGGAAGAAATACAGAGTATCTTTTTGAACTTGCAAATTCTATGAGGAACCTTGTACCAGAAGATGCAGATGAGCATCTTTTCTCTTTGGAAAAATTAGTAAAGGAACGTTTAGAAGGAAAACAGAACCTCAACTTCATATAAAGACCTAATCGTTGGGGTTTTTCAAACAGGCAAAGCTTTTAGTCTTCTGAGAAGAATTTCAATGCACAATGGCAATATGATTTGGAAATGTGTTTACTTGCAGATCTTATTTTTAATGTAGGCCGGATATTGTCTAAAGTTATAGTTTAATTGCAAAAGTCCTGAAACACATATACTCAAAAGGTTGGGATACGGTGAAAGAAAAAACTCAAGATTTAATAACATAATTTCTTAACTATATTATAATATTGAACACTTGTTCTGTAGAAGTGACTTCCTTAGAAAGATAAAGTGAAGGTCTCAGTTCAGATGTTTTTAATCAGAGTAAAAATAATTCCATTGTTTCATATGACAATACTACTTTGAAATTATAGAGAATTAAGCCAAAAGTCCAATAAATATAAGGTTATACCTTCAATATATTCCTATACAATTCTATAACCATGGTTTAAAATATACAATCTTAATGTGTGATTAGAAATATGTGGTAATATAGACAAAATTTCAGCCTTAATTGTGAATTTCCTTGTTATTTAGGTATTAAATGAGACACTTTCAGATTTAGGCCAAAAATGGCATGTTTTTAAATATAAAAATTTCCTTGGAATTATAATGTACTGTACCTCTCCTTTTTTTGAATAAATGCATTTTACTATGTAGAAAAAACTCATTAAGCTAAATGAGACACTTTCAGATTTAGGCCAAAAATGGCATGTTTTTAAATATAAAAATTTCCTTGGAATTATAATGTATTGTACCTCTCCTTTTTTTGAATAAATGCATTTTACTATGTAGAAAAAACTCATTAAGCTAAAGAGCACAAATTACATTATATAAGTCACATCCTCTAATGATGTAGTTTGTCATTCACTTTGTATTAATCTCATACTGAAACTGAAAAAAAAGATGGGCTTTCTGATTTTACAAATTAATGAAAACATTTAATGAAAGCTCAGTATTTAAAACTGCTTTTTTTTTTTTTTAATTTTTATTTTGTCAATATACAATGTATATGATTTTTATGACCCATTTTACAAATTAATGAAAACATTTAATGAAAGCTCAGTATTTAAAACTGCTTTTGGAATTACAATTTTTTAAAGTAAGAAGTGGTATTAACTAATTAATTATTTGCTATGCAATTTTTTTTCTCTCATAACTATATCTTGTCACCTAAACAAGAGTATCAACTTTGTTTATGATGCTACTCAAGTAGGAAACAAATACTTAAATTATTAACTCAGGTAGCATTAGCCTCAGATTTTTCCTGATTATAGGTGAGTTCTTTCTCAATAGGATATATGAGGGGTCTTTGAAAAGTTCATGGAAAGATTCATATTATCTTTGGGGGGAGGGGGTGGCAGCTGGCCAGTACAGGAACCAAACCCCAACTGAACTAACATAGTATTAACTTTTAATTCTATTTTTCCACGAACTTTTTAGTACCCTGATAGGTCCCCATTTTCTGGGTAACTCCTCTGAGTTTGTTTCCATAGTAACTTGCACTCAGTTACGCATCTAATGAATGGCAGAAATCCAGGTCTCTCTGACTCTAACACACGAGATCCCTCTACAATATGTTTAAAATCCCACCTGAATTTAACCACTTTCACTAACCTGCCTTGTTTTTTCAGGAGGTAAAAATGATGAACTTTTTTGTATAATGAAATAGCATGTACGTTGTTATACAAAGATGTTAATTTTGACAGATGGGTATGTTCCCACAAATTGAGCCTATCCAAGATTGACATGCTACAGCTTGGAATCACATAGGTCAATTCAAAGATTCAGCTTTTTGTTTTACAAATCAAGGTCCAAAGGAGTTTGTGACTCCCCAAAGTGATTCTTCTACAATCCAATATATATAAGTAGGATACAAACTATGAAGAGTACAGGATTACTTTGGGATCCTCATTTATACATCTTTCTAGGCTTTCAGTTAGAAATAGCTGGTTAGCTCAGTTGGTTAGAGCACAGTGTTGTAACACCAAGATCAAGGGTTTGGATCCCCATACCAGCCAGCCAACAAAAAAAAAAAAGGAAAGACTAGAAAACATGTGACTGTACATGTGTTACACCATCAACATTTACAGGGAGTCCCTGTTTCAAAGAACCGAGGAAAGGGATGTTCATTTTCATTAGGATGAAGAGAAATCTGAGTGAAATGGATAAGTTAAACAGTACTAAATTAGAGAGGATCTGGGGTTTGGAGCATCCAAGCTAGGAAGAATCATAACCCTGACACCAAGTTATCAAGAGTTTAACTTAGTTTTCTTAGCAAAACTGCAAGTCTCTCTTTACAGCCCTTGGATCTCACTTTCAAAATATTTTCTCTTATTCTGCCCTAATTACATATACACATGAAACTCAAACTCTTTTTCCTCAAAGTAGAAATATTAGCTAGGTGTTAAGTTTTAGGAATTCAAGAAAAGTATGAGTGTAAACCCTACACTGAGAAAAGAAACTTTTAGTATAAATCTCTAACGAAGAGGATTCTTTAACAGGTCTTTCTTCTCCTACTCCAGACCACTCTTACTATAATTCCTTTCCCCAGTCCCAAACAACTTACTCTTCAATCTATCAGGAACTGTAAGCACCATCTACACATAAGTGGTCATGCCACCTCCACACATAAGAAGTGGTATGCCACCTCCACACATAAGAAGTTATCATTTAGAGGAAAAAAAGGCTGTGATGACGTCATTTCTGAATATTTGAAAGCATGAACGTGATGCATTTTGTTAAGACCAAATCAAAAAGTTGGGCTGGCCAGATAGCTTGATTACAGCACAGCCTTGTAACACCAAGACACCAAAGTGTGGTCTGGATCCCCATACAGGCCAGCCACAACCCACCCACCCACCCCCCACCAAAAAAAAAAAAAAAGATTTAACATTATCTATTGATAAGCATTTCATCTTAAATGGGAAAAAATTGTTTAATTTTCTATTTTAAAAGTACCTGAAGTGTATATTATTATACATCTTGAAAGTACCCATTTAATTTTAATATATGTAAAGCATTACAAAGTGCCTGATACATACTCAAAAAATATTACCCAATATTACTTAACATAATATATTCAGAGTACAATGGGTTGAATCTCTCCTCAAGATTCATAATGATTACAATTATACCTATGGTTTGAGAACCATATTTAGTTTACTAGATATTTTTCAAACATTTTCCAGTCAACATTTTTTCCGTTACATTAGGTTTCACTTTTCCATAGATACATATCTTTTTTAAATTATAACTTCAGAGAATACTCTCTCAAGTGCATATCCCTACATACTAAGCAGTTGTGAATATCAATGTAAGCATCATACTCTTATTATTTATCATTCCTGATTCTTTCAAGTCAATTATATGATAAATGTGCTTTAAAACTCCCTTCATCACATCATGTTAAGACCTACCTATGAAATGTTCCTACTATGCCTACCTTTTTTCAGCAAAAATTCTGTGACTACATTTTTATTAATTTATTCAGCTTTTAGCAATCTATTTTTATGTATTTCTAAAACCTTGAACTCACCCTAAGCATACATTAAAGACTCAAAACATTAGTGGGATGATTTTTTAATCCTATGGTGACTCTGTCAAAGAATTTTAACTCCTCCAAAGACAACTGTTAAAACTGTTCTCTATGTCAAATTTATACAATGAAAATTACCTTTAGCTTTATTGAATTTCAGGGTTTTTTCATAAGATTCATTTTATCTGTCTAAAATATATTTCAGTATCACTTTCTTGCATGTTTTATTTAATTATATTGAACCTCCTCTTTATAAATGGTTCACCTACACATATCCACACACTCTGGAAAAACTGCCACTTAACCCTACAATTTCTTTTTTCTTCTAATTTCTTTTATTCTTCCAGCTTTCTTATCCTTCACAGAAATTTTTTTTAACTACACGGTGTTCCACTTCCTTATCAACTCATCCTAATGCCTCTCCAATTCAACTTTACTCTGTCATACTCCATCCAATCAATGTAGTCTCAAATCTCCAATGACCACTTCCCAATGCAACCCAAAGATCTCAGTTTTCATGCTTCTTTACCACTATAAGGCATCAAACACTAGTGACCGAGCATCCCATGTCACTAAAGCCAAAAAAGCAGAACATTTCATTGTATTTCCATTTACAATTGTCACACTATTCTCTATCAGATACATAAACCTCGTCAAATACCAGGCTTTAATTACCATTTTTACTTAGCTCCCAATCTCTAACCTACTCTCTCAACCTCTTTACAACTCTGTACGTCTGTTACATGAAGACATCTCAGTTGAGCTACATGAGCATGAAACTTCATCTCCTTTCCCAACTAGAACATTTTTGTCCCACATTACCTACCTGCACATGATACACATTAAATATTGAACCACGGTTAGAACAGGAAAATAAACAAGTTTAAGATATTCATACCAATTCACAAGCTTTTGGAGAAAATGGATGGCATTTTCACAATATATACAAAATGTAGTTGTACCTTTTTATGTTAAATTTTAGCCTTTATTTTACTAAAAACTTGATAAAACATTCCTTAAGAAGTGTTTAAAAAAATTTTAATTGGGAGGCCATTAGGCTGAGACAGCTGTAGCACCTTGGGTTCCTATGTATGCAAACTGAAGCCCAATGTAAACAGTAAAACAAAATGTAATCTTTTTTTTTTTTGTCTTTTTTTATCTTTTTCCGTGTCCGGCAACGGATCGCAACCCTCAGTGTTGCCCCGTACCGGACCAGGGACCGGCAACGGGATTGCAACCCTCGGTGCTGCTCCCGCGCCTCGCTCAGCCAGTGAGCAGGAACCGGTCTGTATGTGGGATCCGAACCCTCGGGCGGGAGCGCCTCCACGCTTCCCAAGCGGCGCACTTATCCAGTGCGCCACCGGGCCGGCCCCAACAAAATGTAATCTTTTTTTTTTTTGTCTCTTATCCAGTGCGCCACCGGGCCGGCCCCAACAAAATGTAATCTTTTTTTTTTTTGTCTCTTATCCAGTGCGCCACCGGGCCGGCCCCAACAAAATGTAATCTTTTTTTTTTTTGTCTCTTATCCAGTGCGCCACCGGGCCGGCCCCAACAAAATGTAATCTTTTTTTTTTTTGTCTCTTATCCAGTGCGCCACCGGGCCGGCCCCAACAAAATGTAATCTTTTTAATTTTTATTTTTTAATTGCAAATTGACAAATTATAGTTGTATAAATTTATGGGGTACAAAGTGATGTTATGATTTATGAATATGGAATAATTAAATAAAGCTAATTAACATATCCATCACCTCAAATACTTACCATTTTGTCATGAAAACAAATTTGAAATTTACTCTTAGTGATTTTGAAATGTACAATACATTATTATTTACTATATTCACCATGCTGTGCAGTATATCTCAAAGAAAAAAAACTTATTCCTCCTGTCTAACTGAGGCTTTGTACCCTTTGACCAACATCTCCCCATTCCCCTTATCCTCCCATTCTCTGATAACCACCATTCTACTCTGCTTCT